CTACCTTTCCTTCCTGCGTCAAGTGGCATCAAAGCATGGTTCAAAGGCAGTTGTCGAAATATTTGTTCCATAGTTAAGGGAACCTTCTGGGAGGGTGATGATCTCACTTCGAAACCTTGATCCCATGGTTCCTACAAAGGATCTTGTAGGGACCCCATTTTTTCTATTTTGGGATCTCGTTCCTGAAAAAAGGGGACCACGATCGACTCATCAGTGGAATCCAGTTCCATTTTGAAATAGATCCCCTCTCCCATCAACCATGGTCTAAGGTTTTAGTACATTAAAATCTTGGGTTCCATGTTTGTGGGATTCTACTTTCATTAACAGATGATACCAGGTTAGAGATTGTCATTGTTCGAAGTTCCCATAATTTACGAATCATAAGTTCCATGATGTTAAAATCCAGTCCCTTTTGCACATTGTACAAAGTTCCATTTTTAAGTTCTTAATTTAAACTAGGCATAGTCTAGGGTGACCCATTGTTTATTAAGTCCTATTGTGTAAGCCATCCCTCTTAGTTGTTAGAATATATGTTTCATCATTTAAAATCTTATATTCATGATGTCCTATTGTTTTAGAGTAGTAATTCTGATTACAGTTGTGAGATGAGAATATATGCTTTGATTTCAATCTTTAAAAAGCTTCTTTTACATTAGTGAGAGAGAGAGAGAGAGAGAGAGAGTAGTCATCTTGTCCATTTGCCCCTTCGGAGAGCTAGCCTTTGAAAAACAATGGAAGTAGAGGAGACTTGACGATTTTTGATTGGTAGGATTCTGGGTTGCTGGGGACTCAAAGGGAATGGTGCATAGAAAACTTGTGTTAGGGCCTGAAGATGTAATGGTCATAAGAAAGACCGACTTATAGAGCTCCATAATTAATCTGTTGTTATTCACGCAAAAATAAATAAATCCATTGTTAAGGGCGAGGGGCACTTGATAAAGGATCCCTAGTAAATGGCACTTGTGGACCTCGAGGCCAATCAGCTGAGAACCTTGATTTCTATACTTTAAGAATCTCGATATTAGAACAAGACCCCGTCATATGACATACTTAAACCGCGATTCCTTGACCAAGGGAACTCGTACTAGCTCTATTTACAACTTAGTTTTTTTGTATAGTGGAGCTTAGATTCCTGCTAGTCAAAACATTGAACCTATTGACATAAGATCTCGCTTCCATAAACCTAAGGATCTTGCTCCTTGTCTTATTCATTGTATAGACACCGATCCTAACTCGGGGGAGCTTCCATTTTAGGGCAGTTCGGCGAATCCCGAATCGATCCCTCTCTCGACTCCCACAACTATGATTTGATCTTAGGTGCACTGAGTCAATTGGGGGGAAGAGCCACTCTTAGGTGTTCTAAGCCAAGTAGGATTGACATTCAAAAGGAGAATGCAAAGTACTGTAACTCAACTCTTTTAGTATGAAGTTTAGTTTAATTGAGTTATTGTACTTTGTATTCTCTCATAATATGGAAGAGTTGTTCAGCCGGGTCATAAATTGAGTGTAGGTTGATTGCTGAATGAAGGAATTTGGCTTCATCAAAAAAGTAGACTTCTTGGTCGTTCACTATTCTCTTATTCTAAGGGGGTGCAGGCTGAGCGGACCGAGATTCTGATGGCTGGTCGTGGAGGTCTTAGCCCTAGGGATGCCGATCTTATCCAATTACACAAGGAAATCAACAACTTGATGGAGAGGATTACAGAGCTATAGTTGCGCAAGCGAGGCCAACAACAACGTGCTAGACGAAAAGGATTAATAGATTCAAATCGTGAGGGTTTTTATGGAGAATGTCGTGAATCAGGATCCAACTCAGAGTGGGAGCGGAATGATAACATGTCAAACTACATGGATGGGTTCGATGCAAGATGGTATTAATGGGAGCATAATTTTGAAGAACTCGAGTACAACCCTTTTCACCTTCGTGCTTTGTGGGAAGAGTCGATTGAAGAGAAAAGTGATAGAATACCTCTTTGTAGGGGACATCACTTTAAGGTTTTCCATTTGAAAGATGATAATATTGATTTTGATTATATTGAAAATCAGCAAGTTGTAGATTGGGATTTACCTCCAATCTTCGATGCATGCTCACAAGATCTTGCAGGATGCTTGATTTATGATAAAGAATTCTTTTTTTGGGTGAACCGATCTTTGACAAAAGAGGTGAAACATTTAGAAGACTTAAAGCATTGGAATCAGAGTGGTGTAGTAGAATCTTGGTCGACTCAGAATCTGCAAATCGTGGCCCTTGATTTAGGGAGTAATGAATAATGTCGAGAAAGCGCCCCTCAAAGACCAGAAAAAATTGAGTTTAGAGTGTCTTACATGTTTTTCAATGAGAGTTCAAAGATATGAAGATCCTCAATACATGGCTTCCTCAATACACAAATGAAGATCCTTTCCTTATTCTTTTTACCGCAAATATTCTTTGAGCCAACAAAGAAGAAGGTTGAAGAAGGTGGTTTTGATGCTAAATTCATCTTAGCATATTTCAAAACTTGATGACGAGTTTTCTCCAACTAGGGGAGAATGATGTAGGCCAATATTATTTTTATTTTTAATTTTTATTCAATTTCAAAGGTTGTATGTTTTAATTTTAGTTTTGGGATCCATTACTAGGATTTTTTAAGTTGTTTTTGGGTATTCTAGGGTTTTTAATATTTTTATTTGCTAGCCATTGGTTACTATTCATAGTTATTGTCCATGGGTATTTATGTTACTGTTCATGGGTAGTGTTCACATGTTATTGTTCACATGGGCATTTATGAAATTTTAGTATTTTTTAGGGGTAATTCAGAGTCTTAAATGTTTACTTGGGTATCAAGTTAATTTTAAGGTTTTATAGTTTTATAAAAGGTTAATGTCACATTTTTGAAGGCTTGTGTTATTTTGAACGAATTTTATTTTATGAATAAAGAAAGTTTTTCTTCTTTTGGCTTGATTTATAACCATGTTCTTTCTCCATTATTGTTGATTTTACTTGTTCAAGTTTCAGAAAAATGGTAGATTTAATTTCCCACCTTTCCTTCCTGCATCATCCAGATCAAGGTTTGATTTACAGCCAAATAATCATTTAGCAATTGAAAGTTACTTACATGTTGAATGGGCAGGGTAGGTTCATCATCTGACAGGTGGTCTACTAGAAGTTATTGTATATTTATTGGTGGAAACTTGGTAACATGGAGAAGCAAGAAACAAAATGCTGTGGCTAGATCTAGTATAAAGGCTGAATATAGAGCAATGGCATATACTACATGTGAATGCTGTGATTGAAAGCACTGATGTAGGAAATGAGGTTTATGGTTATTAAACCTTTGAAGATATATTACATTAACAAAGCTGCCACTTGTACAGCCAATAATCCAGTGTTTCGTGAAAGGACCAAGCATGTTGAAATGGACTGTCATTTTATTTGAGAGAAAGTTGCTAGCAAGCATGTGTCTACTCCATATGTGAAATTTAAGGATCAGGTGGCAGACATCTTCACCAAAGGCCTTGGTCATAATATGTTTTGTTCCAAATTGGGCATGGGCGATATTTAAGTTCCAACTTGAGGGGAGTGTTAAAAGTCTTTTTATCAAAGTTCTGGGACCTAAGTGTCCTTTCATATTTTTTATGGGTAATTTTTCCTTTTTTTAAATAAATATATAGTAGTTTAAGACGTGTGTGAGAGGAGAGTTTTGAACCTCACACCAATCTCTTCTCTCACACATTTCTCATCTCTCCTCTCTCTCTCTCTCTCTCTCTCTCTCTTTTCTCCCTTTTCTTTCTCTCTAGATTCTCTGGCATTAACATTCAAAGGTATTACATTGTGAAATAAAATAACTAAACAAAGGAAAATAATGCCCCTCATACCGGATACTTAGCCAATAGTTTTAAACCTATTGAGTTTTTGAATATTCGTGTACATAGCCATTATTACAATAGGAAATGGATAATTAAAGGGAAGCCAAGTTGGTGGTTTAGTATGAAGTTGATGAATCATTCCACATTAAATATAAATATTGAAAACTTGCCTCCCTTATCACCTTAAATGTTTTTGACCACTATGAATATAGTTTCTGTGAACACCTATAGATGTATGTTCACCCTGGCATCAACTTATATATTTTTCTCTCCATGAACTGTTTTTTCACGGTTGTTTGATGTCATGGTAGTGCTGCTTACATTTCTTTAAATGGGCCTTATCTTCTTACACTGAATCAAGTCTTGAGAATATTTACTTAAACAATATAAATCTGCCATTGAACATAATTTGAAGGAACTGTAACACAACCCCTTCTATCTTACCTATTTGGCAAAATTCGAGGAAGTCAAAACTTTGATCTCTAAAAGCTGGGAATGAGCTTTATGACTTATACCGTGGATTCCTTAGTTGAGTTGGCAAGTTTCCAATTCAGCTTGATTTTTAAATAAATATAATTCACACATCCATGTGTATGTTTTCGTATAGATACATGTGTTTGTATGTATGTATGTATGTATGTATGCATATTGTAATATTTTCTTTGCAATAGGCAATTGTTCTTCGTTTATGTTAGTTACACAGGATGGGGTATTTTAAATGAGTCTTTAATGACACAGGTTGTTTAAAATATGGGAATGCGATCTTATGACATGAATATGATCTAAATATGGGATGTACATGATTACCATTTCTGCCAAATGTGATTAATAGAAGTTTCTGAAGTGGGATTGCTTCCCCTGAAAGTTAGATCTGTATCAAATATGCTAATCCACGTACTGATTTTGTGGCTTCAAAATATTTATTGTTTCTTTATAGAACTCCCTAGTTTTCCAGGAGTTTTTGAATTCTAATTTACTACTGCACTATCTCTTCATCTATTACTATCTTCTCTAACATTTGATACTCTACGAATTCCTGTAAATCATATATATGTTTTCTGCCTTGTTTGTGTTTCTCATTGAACATATCAATGGATTTGTGATGTCTTTGAATAATGACTTTCTCGTTTTGTGTATTTTAAATCATTATTTAGGTTATCACTCCATTAAGTATGAGTGGTGTTATCCTAGACGCTCCTGAGGCTACCAAACTTCTTGGTGCGGTTGCAATTGCTTTATCAAACTGTGGCAGGTTAGTTTTGATTTTTCCAGTTTACATACAGGTGAGTTTTAGATTTTTGATGCTGACCAGAAGTGTTAGGACGTGCTACCGATAAATCTAGTTCCTTACCATCTATAAGTATATCCGATAGTGAAAACTTTCAATTGGCTGATCACTTGGATTTCTTTATTATGAACTGAAACCTCAGAAAGGAGTAGACACACAAGCATCAATAGAGGGTTTCCATAAAATGCTTTTGTGCTTTCCAATGTTACAACTATACAAGTACATTTGCCAAAGTTCTGCGTATGGTGCTTGAAAGATCTGTTTTTGCTTTGAATGGTTCCATGGTGTTTTAAAACTTGGCGAGTCCGACTAGCACTCACTTGAGTTACTCAAACCCAACAGGGTGCTTGTTCTCTTTGAAAATTTTGGGAACTAACCGAGTCCTTCAGGTTTCCAATGTTACTTTATTAGTCTTTCATAGACTCGAACACTGCCGAGTCAGAGTGGCTAACTCAAACATGGGCCCTGCCCGATTCTATGTCTGAGTCTGAGTTTTTGATTCCTTGTTCCTTACATAAGAGAAGGCTATCCAAGTATTGAGGTTAACATGGATTTGTAAATTCCTATAACTATGTCATTTGGAATTTTCTAGATTTCTAAATAGAGGGAGAGGATTTAGTTCGTGTCTCTATGATGACTTCTTTAAGAGGAATTAGGCAGAGTGATCAGCTTTCCTTTTCCTCGTTACGTTATTGCATGAGCTCTTTGGGAGCTTGTTGATAATGCAATGCAGTCGGATATTCATGGGATATCCTCACTTAGGGGGCTGATCTTATTGAAGTGGAAAAATCTTATACTCTGATTGCAAATGGTTTGTGGTTGTCTTGGAACAGAGTGTGATTGACCAAAAGCTATGTTATGGGCATGGTTTTGTGGATCAAATAGTGGGCATTATAGCATCTAGCATGGGTGTAAGATTGAGGTACTTCCAGGAGCATTTATCTGGGTTTCCTTGTGCATGGGAAAGTCTGAAAACAGCCCATATTATCTAATCATTTAGAGGTGCACATGGAAGCTCATCATTTACCAAGGACTCTTTCTCTCCTTTGTGCCTGGTGTGATTCTTATTAAATTAAAACTGCAATTCATTTTGTTCATTCCTTCGAATCCACATTGAGGTTGTTGAGATTCTAGAAGACTGTCGAGAGATGCTATTCTAAGGAAATAACGTGGTGCATGAGATTTATTTTGCGAACTGGGAGAATGTCCACAAGCCCAATGGATGGAGCATTTAAATTAGAATACTTGCTTTCGCTCTTCAGGCCTTATTCTATCTAGGTTTCATTGGTGTTTTGCCTATTGGGAAAGCCTATGGATTAGGGAAACAGGATTGGGCTTGATTTCTTAGCTGTTGATAACTGCAACAGTATGGCCCAAGTTTGATTCCCACTGTTGAACTACCTGAAAGAAAAGGATAGCCTTTTGGTTTGGAACATTGAATTCTAGAGGGAAACTATGATTTCAGTTGCGTGGAAGGGTATCTGCTCTTGAGGATCTATGTTAAAAAGGTTAATACATTTAGGATAGGGAACGGGAGAGTGAGGTTTTGGGTTTATATCTAATGTGAGAATGTTTCATACTTAGTTCCACTGGTCTCCCAATTTGATGCCACTATATATGTCTTCTATGTTTGCAATGATTTTCTTGAATGCCACACTGGGTATTGATTTGAGTGACAGTGTGAAAGGGTAGTCTTGACTCCTAGGTTTAGGGGCCTTAAGGAAAATTTCTGACTTGTGTCTCCTTTGTTTAGCCTTTAGTCATTTTTACTCTCATAGTTAAGTCTTGATTAGATTGTTTAAGCCCTTGATATTGGATGGATGTCTTCCTCCAGATTAGTTCATTACTTTCTCCAGTTCATGGGTCAGTAGAATGTCATGTCTTGTTCCATTTGAAGAACCCTTGCTCAACCATGGGCTTGTGCTTTGGTTTGTTGGTAAATTTCTCATATATTGCAAAGTAAATGAGAAAATGTCATATCAATCAAAGAAATTGCTGAGGGTTAAATGCTGCATCTAATCCTTGAGAGAGTTTTAGAGCCATCGTATGCCAATTATGACAAAAGGAGTTCTGGGGCTCAGAGATTGCAAAAGGCCGTCTTTCTGTCCTTTGCCGATGTTCCTTTAATCTATGTTAGGCATTCCAAAGTACACAACCTAAAACCAGTGGGATTCCAACACTTGTTCCATGCAGTGGGGATGAGGCAGGATGATTACCTCAATAGACTGCCTGAAAGTTCATTTTTTACTGTTACATGGGCCTTAATCCTTAAGAAAGCTTAAAGAATGGATCAAAAAGTCTAATGAAAATACTGGAATGGTTTTAAAATTAAACCATGAGAGAGGAGATTGATTTTTTTCTTTTGAGTGGTACCATATTTAGGTTGGGAGCAGTAAAGTCAAATTTTGTGCTGTGGATGCTGTGGAACTGATTTTGCTCCTAAACACCCTTTCTTCTGGCCTGTTGGCTTTGGTAATGGATAGTATGGAGTGCAATGCGCAGAGCTATGCTGATACCATATAGTCAAAACGAGTAGATACGAAGGGGTTGAAATGGTGCTTGTTCCATATCGAGAATGTGGAAGAAATTTAACATGGTTTAGTATTCAGTTTTGTTTTTGGGTGAATGGTTCAATACTCAGTTCTTCCCTAAAATATTGATAATCTAAGATTGGCTAAACGATGTCACACCTCTCTAACTTACACAGACATGGAAACTCCACTGTTTAACTGTTTGATGGGACCATATAACTCTAGTACATTTTTTCTTTTTTCTTTTTTTTTCTTTTTGTTTTTTTTTTTTCTTTTTTTAAAGTCGTATAAGTTGTATTACAGAAGCTATGAAGTCTTATAAAAATGATGTAACTATGATTTATGATTTATGAATGGCAAGGGATCATCAATGACAATTCTCAATTTCTGGTGCCACAAGATTCAACAAGCTGTGGGGCACAAAAAAGCATTTACTAAAAAAGCACTGACAACAAAGAAAGGACCCAATCATATTTTACCTGCTTTATTACCATGTTAAATTACAGAAAAGCAGGAAAGGAAAGACGAAGAGAACATTTCTGTTGACCCCAGTTCCAATGCTGTCTTTTAAGAAAAGTGTTCTTTGTGAGGAACATCTTTTTCTTGTTTTGCCTAAGTTTTCCATATTCCTGTGTAGTGAGAGAACTGTTTCCTATAATGAATCTCTTTGATATGGAATTAAACCTACACTTCTCTAATTTTTTGAGATACATTACAGCATATTACATAATGATAATAGAGAATACTAATGGGGCATAGTGAATTTTGAGAGGTTGAGTTCTCAACATAAACAATAATGGGATAAAGAAGTACCATTGAAGGTGATGAACATTTAGTCTTTGTTTCTTTGTTTCCCGTACTGTTAGAAGTTTGCATTTGTTGCTCATTTGGATGTATCTTCTTGCATTCATTTGGCTTACCATCCTTTATTGGTTCTTTGCAATTGTGAATATATCCCTTATAGCTTAATTTTCATTTAAGCTTTTAATATTTTGGTTCTATGTGATCCTTCTATCCATTACTGTTTAAATTCAAACTGTGACGTGTCCAATATGTTATTTATCAGTGCCTGGCCAGCGTTTGTTCCAGTTCATGATCCAACACGGAATGCATACAATGGTATTGAAAACATTGGAATGTGTTTTAGTCGGAGGTTTGAGACAGATCGCATTGGGAGCCAGGTTCCTATAAGGCTGATGCATTTGGAGGGACTCTATGAGTTGTTCGTCTCAAAATTTGTAAGAGCATACACTTTGATTTTTTGATTTCTGCTATTTTCATTTTGAAGTAGCTGTGTTGTCCTAAACCTCTCCGATAGTTTTCAACACAATTTTTGTAACCCCAATAAGCATTCAGAATCGTGTACGATGTCACTAGGATGAACTGCATATATTTAGTTAGACAGAACTGTATATGTTTATTTTCACTCTAATGTGGTTTGCGTTGGCTTTCGTGTATAAATATTGTAGGATGATTTGCTTTTTTTTAATATGAATCATATGGTATTGAAGGCCTTTGTGACAACAGACTTGACATTCAATTTCTTCAAAGTCCACTTCACGATGAGGTTGACTTACAGAACACCCCCTAATGATGGAGATGAAGAGCATGGTGATGAATCTGAAACTGTCAAATCCAGTGTGGACATGGAAGGTCCCATGCACATCATAAAACAATGGGATGATGACTGCCCTTGGGCCGAATGGTATTCTGCAGAAGATCCTGTAAAAGGTATACTAATTCATGCACCAACTCTTCCTTGACTAATTGTCAAGAGCTATCAAAGGCCACAGAGCTGTGCTCAGTGGTACTTTATTTTGTTTATGTCATTCACATTTTTTTGTGTTGTTCATTGTACACCTGTTACGTCTTAGCCTTTGTCTTCTAGCCTCTGGGGGATTCCTTGGAATCTGGTGTAAAGCTCCAAAAATTCTGATGCTAGTCTCTTGTTATGAAGACGTTAACGTTTAAAATTTCTTGAACTTGATTTTGGTCTTCAACTTATCATGATTGACATCGTGATGAAGATGTTTGGGTAGTGAAGTCCTTATTGTGATATCTTCCATATAGAGATTCCTGACATGTTTAGATAATTGTTCCTATATATCTTATGGCCTTTTTTTTGTTTTGTTATAGGGTTTATATAAGGGTAAATATAATATGTTTCCTAAGGATATTAGCTATAGACCCCTAGGTAGCACCCTCTTGTGTTATTCCCCATCAAACATCGATTATATGGTGGGTGGTCACTAGGGACTATGTTACAGTATGCCCCTAGTAATCATAATATACACTCCCTTTAGCAAATATATTATCTATTCATTTTTGTAAGTATTTTTAAATTTGTACTTGCACTGTCTCCAAAACCAAGTTCTCTAGGAGTGCTTCTGTTTATGTAATGATGGTGCTCAAGCACTCTCTCTGTGTAACAATGGCTTAGAAACTTGCCATTGATAGAAAATATTCCCTGAGAAGTGAGTTGCTTGCTTTGTGTAAGTAAAATATAGTTTGTGAGTCACTTTAAGAGCTGTTAACAGTCCTTAATGATTTGCATAATTCATATATTACAAGGGATAAATGATGTTTTGTTGATTTATGACCAAGTGCTTATTTGATTTACCTAAAATTTCATTTCTAAATATCATACTGTTGGATATAATAGATTTTTGGTTCTTTTGAATCATGCTCATGCATAGATTTTTTAATTATGTGGTTTTGCATCTTGTTTCTGAGATGCATGTAGTTGGGAACTTGGGATATTTAGTTGAGATTTCATGTTTGAAAACCTAATGTTCTAATTAAGGAGAGTATGAAGTGATTATTCTTTTGTGAATTCAAGCTGATGAAGCCCATAACCAAGGGACCATGACCTCGCCCTGGACCCTGATTCTCTTTGATAACTTGCTTTATGAGTTTCTTACTTTATAGTTGGCTTGAGTCTGCATCTGTAATTTCTTGATCTTTATCATGTACATGTTGTTGGTTTTCTGTGGTCCCTTTGATAGTACGTTCTATTTTTGAGTAAGATAGGAGATGGTTGCTAATCGTAAGATACAAAATAACTCTTGAAATTTAAAGCATGTGTTTGTTCATTGTACTTGGGGCTGTTTATCTTCATTAGTTTGTTCTATTCAGTGCCATAGGCTTAAGTGAGTTTCATTGTGAAATCTTTAGGTTTTGCTTTTAATGTTTCCATGAATTTTGATTCTCCATTTTTCTTGAGCTTGAGGGTATATGCTTTTTTCAAACTGATGTTTGTCTTTCTTTCGACTTTTAGGATTTGAATTGGTTACAATATGGTCAACAAGGATAGTTGAAAGTTCCTTGGAGATGGCTGAATTCGAAAATGCTTCTACAAAAGAAGCTGACAAGTGGTTTCTGATGCCCATTGTGTTTTCATCAGTGTATGCTTCTGTCTTCCCTGATATTTTTCCTTTTCAAATTTGCAAAGAATTCATTCTGACCTTTTTACTGTGCTTTATCCCTGCATTTTTTGGGGGGCAAACATTCATTCTATATGGATGATCTTGATGGATATGTGATAAGCATCATCCACATAAATTGCCCCATTTAAATAGTTTCAATAGCACCCTATCTCTCACATGTCCATCATGCCGCTGCTTTTTTGGGATTTTCAGCAGTAGGATTAATACTTAATTTGGGCCGAGAGCATTGCCCATGTCTGTATTATATCTCTCTCTCTCATCTCCATTATGTTCTCTCTCATTTCCACTTCTTGTATCAAATCATCATCAGGTGCAATCTCCTCAGACCTAAACCTATCTCTTCGTTTCTTATCTCCAACACATTTCTTCAACAATCTGTCTCCTTTCGTCTGGATATGTTTTTTCATGAAAACAAGGAAGAAAGAACAATTCCTCTCTCTCTTGTCCCCCCCCAAATAGGTTGATCTCTCTCTCTCTCTCTTCCCCCCCCCCCCCCCCAACTAGGTTGAAAACAAATATTACAGCATAGATGTTAGAGAAAAGGAGAAGACTAATTTTTCGAGGTGGCCTATCTTTTTATGATAAATAACTATTGTTTCTTAAAGAAATTTTATATTCTTAGTTACTGTTGAACGTATTTTATAGCTATTTTTTCCCCATGTTCTATGACAATTTTTTTAAGTTTTTTAAAACTTAATGATTTAATTTACTAAATTGGGTGGCTAAGTATTTTAATAATACCTAAAAGACCAATTTGGTTTCTTGTTCTATAATTTCTGAAAGGAATTGGCAATTTTTATCACTTATTTTGGCTATTTTTACTACAAATTGCAAAATTTTGTGATTAATTATAAATAGAGCAGTTTATTTCTCTTTTGATTTATATTTTTTAATTTTTATTACTACTTATTTTTTGATTTTTTCATTATGAATTTCAAATGCTCTCTTAAATTCACCATTTAGTACTGGATTTATTTCTTTTTTTTGGATATTTATAGAATTTTTTTATTTTTAATACAATTTTTATGTATGAAAATTTATTTATGACTAAGTTTTCGCGTTATATCTCTAGTGGCTTTCTCTTTCTAGGTTATGTCTCTCTCGATGCTCCTGTTTTTTTGAATTTGATTTTTTTTCTTTTTAATGTAACTAACACATTGGCCTTCAGTGAATGCAAAAATGACACTGCAGGGAAGTGAGCAACTTCCCTTGGTGGTAGACACGTTCCAATCCACTCAAATCAATAGCCATTGATTGTAGCAAATGTAAATTTGGTTGTCAATTGTGCACTTTAGAGTTATGCTGTATATGTGTGTTAAGTAGGATCTTATGAAAGGCATTGCCATTATGTAAGTAAGAAGCCCCATGATATGAGGAGTCCCTTGAGTGTCGTTCCATCTATTCAAACCATCTCTTCTTCCGGCTCTCAATACGCTAGCAAGGTCAAACTATTGCTTGGGCTTTTTGCTACCCCAACAACGTGAGTCATTAGCACAACGAGCAAAGCTCACTACGATAAGAGTTGGTTAAAGCACAATAGTCTTTACTACCGAGAAAGTAAATGACATGGGCTTTGACAAGACTTAGCTAATGACTGAACTCATTGGCTTTTTTGTTGCCTCCACTACCTTCACTAGAAGAAGAATATGCCTTCTTATAATATTTTTGTATCAAATAATGTACCACTATATTTTCTCATTTATGTTTTAAATTTTGTGTGATTATATTTTGCTTTTCTATCTCCTTTAGCATTTTCTAGCAGTGTTCGATTCCTTTACATCTCCCTTTACATCCCTCCTTTTCGAAACAAGTTATTTTCTTTTTAATTTTGAAGGGTGACTTGGCTCAATCATTTTTGTTAGATAGCATGTTTGTGTTATTTTTAAATGTTTTTTAAATATTTTCCAAAGAAAATTATTATTTTAAATTATTATTATTTTTTAAAAATAAAATGATCTTAGTTTAACTGTTTATATATCTTGAAATTGTTTCTTACCAATTTTCAAATTTGTATCTCCTCTATCTTTCACTTGGTACTTCCATTTCCTCTCTCTACTATTGTGTCTCTCGTTGAAACCCTTTTCATCACCCTGCATTTTGCAAAAAGAAAAAGGGAAAATATTGCATTGTGTATTTCCCACCTTGCGACCAACATACAATGGATAATAATGGATGGATATGTATTTTTATATGGCCTTGAGTTAATATTTTTGTGGTTCAATAGCATTTAACTTTAATTCCCTCTTTAGGTTTTTTAAAGATAAATTCTTTTTGTAATATCAATTATTATGTTTGAAAAATCAGTTCATCATCATTTGAGCCTTATCCCAACTATTTGGGAATTGTTACACGAATCTTGTTCCGCCATTCCGCTCTATCAAGTGCCATACCCTCAGTCAGACTATAAGTCACCATATCTCTTCTTATTAATTCCATCCATCTCCATTTGGGCGCCACTTGAACCTAATTGTCCCTCCTAACCGGTGATGTATTAGGTTTACGCTACAAATGGCCAGTCCACCCTAAGTCTACTTTTGCTCATCTTATCGTAAGTTCCCTCGTATGAATTCATTATGAAGTCTATCCTTTCTTGTCTTGCTGCTCATCCATCTCAACATCCTCATCTCAGCTACACTCATCCTATAGATATATTGTTTCTTGACTGCCTAATATTCCCTCTCATAAAGCACGGCTAGTTTTAGAGGCGTTTTATAAAACTTCCCATTTAATTTCATTGGTATATGGTGATCACATAAAACTCCAGATGCATATCTCCACTTCGCCACCCAGCTCTAATTATATGTACATCTTCCTCAATCTAATTCTATATAACTGCACTCAGGTTTTGATACAGCTGTTGCTTAAAGGGAACGCCCTAGCATGAGCATATAACATAGGTTCGGGATTCATGAAAGATGTGGCAAAGTTTTATGCCTGCTGCTCTTCCTAACACAATCCTCCTCCTTTACCTGGGCTTGGGACCAGCCATGTTGGAGTTAGGTTTACAAATCATTTATGATTATTTTTAAGTTTTACAATTACGAATACATGTTTCAAAATTTTCATATCACTAATTTGTATTTTTTATTTGCAAATTTATGCTTTTAAAATTGTATGTGACAAATTATTTCAATTTATATATCCTATATCTTTCTCTTGCTACAGTCCACCTCTATTGTCCCTCGTAGTGTCCTTAATTTTGAAATAAAAGTTTTCTATTTTTAATTTTGAGAGCCATGCCTTGGACTAGTCTTTTATGTCCAAGAGCATACCGGCATATCTTAGGAACTCGTTAATTTATATTGTGTAAGGAGAACATTAGCTGACCTAATAATGTAATTGTAGGCACTTAATATGTCACATGTTCCCTTAGGTACTTAATATGTCACATTTTCCCTTTTTAGTTATGATTTTATGTTACGAAAACTGTTTTTTATTTTGTTTTCTCTCGTTCCCCGTATATTATTGTTGTGTGCCGTAGTGTATAATGTTCTCTCTATAAGCCACATATCCAATGTATACGTGCGAGGCATGTATACTACTTCACACTAATAGGAGTAATCCTTTGTTACCTATTTTGGAATGCAAGTGATGTTGGACTGTTGGAAGGCTATTGTGTGAGTACACATGGACTTGTGAATGCCCACTTACAATACACGGACAGCACTTTGGTTTATGGTGATGACTCAATGGAGATACCCAAAACCTATGCATCGTAATCTGTGTAATTGAAATTGCTATATATTAGAGTCAATATGGTCAAAAGTGATACGTTGGAAGTCCATGTGCTGTGGATCTTCTAGGACTTTTGGTGTAAAGTTGAAAAACTTTCCAAGTAGATACTGGGGTTTGCCTCTATGTGTGAAATGACGCTATAAGAGGATATGGGATCTTGTTGTGGAAAGGGTTTAAAGGAGGCTGTCATCATGGAAGGGACTGTTTCTGTTGATGGCCTGGAGGATCACATTAGACTACTACTTGAGCTTCACTGTATTCATTTAAATGTCACTGTGGCAGGCTCCTTGCCCAGTTGTTGCCAAGATCGAGCGTATTCAAAGGCACTTTTTATGGCAGGGCAGGAGTGAAACAAGGTAGTTCCACATTGGTAAGTGGGACGAGGTGTGTGAATCAAATGGTGGGGGTTGGCTCCTGCAAACATGGCAATCTTAAGCAAATGGCAGTGGCCGTTTGGTTTGGAATCTGACTCACTATGGAAAAGAGTTACTATAGGGGAGTGAATTAGAGGGATGGAAAATGGTGATTCGAATTATGTACTGAAGGGTTTCGAGATGTCACATGGTACCTTACAGGTCTCTTAATCGTTCAGGGCAGGCATTAGATTAGGGAATCACACTTCATTCTGGGTTGACTTATGTTGCGGAGATAGACCATTTCAGGAAAGGTTTCAAAGTCTTCATCAAGTGGCTGTGAACCATGGCTGTTAACCAAGAGCCTATGAGAGAAGTGGGAATGAACTAGTAAATGGAATCTAGTTGATCATGAGATCGAGGAGCTATGCTCCCTTTTGAACTTGTTGCCACCTCTGTACACCCCTGGTGAATGGGCACATTGACTCATTTGGAGATGTGATCATTAAGGTTATTCTCAAATAAATCATTCTTTAGAAAACTTCCTCCCAAGTACATAACATGTGGAATACCCCGGCAACACCCTGAGCGTGTTCCTTTGGATGACAAGGTGTTTTATTCCAATTTTATCGGATCTCAGAAGTGACAATAAAACAATATTTGACAAGGTGTTGACAAAAGCCCATTTACAACACATAGGAATAAAGTTTCCAAACACATGTTGTATGTGGGGGCTGAGGAGAGTGTTAATCATTAGTTAATCCACTGTCCTTTCACAGTGATATATGGAACAACATATTGAGGCTCAGTTAACTTTCTCTCAAAAAAAAAACAACATATTGAGGCTCTTTGAGATGAGTTGGGTTCCTAAGTGAACAGTGGAGAATGCGGTATCAATGTGGAGTTTTAGCCCTTTCTCACAAAGAGGAAAGGTCCTTGGATGCTTAACATTTCAGATATTTTATGGAGAATTTGGCATGAATCGAATATGAGAATTTTAAGGGAAACACTCAAAATTCCAAGAGAGTTGGTGAGAGTTTTAGAGAAATGTTTATTGCTTGAAGGCTTTATTGGGAGGACATTATGGGCCTCTGCATACTAGATCTAGTTAGAGAGTGGAAGATGGTGATGGATATTTGAGTGACATACCGTGGCTATGTGAGCTGCTTTCACCAGAAGGATCCCTTAAGCTAAACTTGATGTCGCTTATTTGGGAACCCAGGGCCCTCTGGTGTTGGTGGAGCTATATCATAGACAAAATTTGGTAAATACTCACATTGTCTGTGCGAGTCCTTTAGGTATTGGTGATGCTAATAAGCCAAGGAAATTGCCTCTCACAAGGATTAAGATCTTGCTCGAAACCTTTTTAATGCCCTTAATATATAGGGAGATTCTACGAACGTATTCTATGGCCTAGTAAGGGAAGTCCAGTCCTAGGGAGACTTGCTGGCACATAGAGGTGATCCATAATATTTCTGACGGAAAGATGGTTACTTTTCATCATATGCCAACAGTAGCAAATTCTTAGCAGATTCACGTGCAACACATTAGAAGAGCTAGGGAGGATATGTATATTGGAGTGCTTCCCCATATCTTTCACTTAGTTCCCCCCTCTCTATATGTCTTCTCCCCCTGTTCTGCACATCTTGGTTCCTATGCTCGTCTGAGCAGCTTGACGTAATTGATTTATATTTCAAGATTTACCATAAAAAATACTTTGCGATTTGTATTTCAGCTTGAGCAATTTAATAGCTTTATATATTAGAAAATGAATTTAATTTGTTCCTCCATTAAAAGTATTTATGCTTGTATTTTGAATGATCTGTTGTGCTAATTATTTGTAACGCATTATTTGTGTGAATTTACTCTTTGTGGCCCCTGGGATGTTCTGGCTATGTTTGTTATTAGTCAGAGTGTTCTTGTTAGCCTTTGGCAGTTGTAACTTACAATTCATCAAACAAGTGTACTAACTGGCACAAATGCCTTTCTATATACGAATATTATATCTATGCTTTTAAGTTCAGCAAGAACTAATATTCTAGTAGAAATCTTAATGGTTCTTCAGTATCCTTTTCTAGGCATGATTCTTAGTATAATATTCATTTTTTTATCAGGAATGATGGCGCTAAAACCAATCAAGTTGGCTTTGCATCCCAGTTAAGCCTTCTATTAAGTGCATTTCGTGTCTCCTTCGAAGCAGAATTTATGGAAGATTTTACATCAGGTATGAAGAACTTACATATAAATAACTCAAGTTTATCAGTTCAACATATTCTAGGGTTCAAGATAAGTTTTTCTAATTCACAATGCTATTCTCTCTGGCATTTTGCAGTTGAAAACCATGGATCTGATAATTTGAAGTCCTCAACAACAATACCACCCCCAACAGTTCTGGACCGTGTTCTTAAAGAACTCTTTCCTTCAGGTAAACGTGTAGGTGTTCATTGAACCTACTATGTATGTAAGTATGATTCTTGCTTCTTATGTCAAATTCTTATAATACTGAAATTAGATATCTTGATGCATTTATCTGGCACACTTTTATGTGTGATGTGGACATGCATTTTGACACTTCAAACATGCCTGTTACCGCTTTTGAGAAGTCCTCCCGGGAATTCTTTGTGGAGACACTAGATTGGCATGTTATACATCAACACATGCATTCAAAGTTTGTATGTGCACTGCCGAATTCTAGACGTGTTTACAAATTGAACATTCTCATCAAAACTTTGGATAATTCTGTAAAAAATTTTAAAAATGCGTGCTAAAGTTGTACATAGAACTCAACTTTTAGATTCGCTTGCTCCCTTGTTAAACTAATTCAATATATCAATTTTATGTTGGCATGTCCATACTGTACAGACTTGTGTCTAAAAAATGGCAATTTTTGAGGAGCTGTATTGAACATGTTTCCATGTCAGATGCTGAAACATGTACGTCTTTGTAATATATTTCCCAATTATGCATCCTATTAATACATAAAAACTGCCAGGGATTTGTTCTTTTCCTTTAAGGGGAAAATAATATTATTATATAAAATGCACCTTCAGTGATCAATGAAGACAAGTTTTTTATTATCTTTGTAATCTGTTTCAGAGGCACAAGTATCTGGCCATGGCGAACGTGAACATAAGCACTCTAAATCTATTAAAGGCGCTCCATTAGGATCTCTGTTTGCTCAATTCTGTCTCTACTCTCTTTGGTTCGGCAATTGCAATATTCGTGGTATGTGGGTATGCTTCACCAGTTCTCTGTTTTTTCTATTGTTTTTATTTCCAGAGTTTTGGGTTTCATTGCATGGATCGTATTTAGTTTCTTAGATTTTTGTGTTTTCCCATTGATGTTGACATGCATACTGAAATGAAACATCAAGCTTGTCAACTTAATTCATTGCTACTCCTGTGTTTTGTGTGCTAGCGATCTCTGCACTCTGGGTAGAATTTGTAAGAGAAGTTCGCTGGTGTTGGGAGGAGTCAAAGCCATTGCCGAAAATGCCAGTGACTGGTACTATTGATTTGTCTTCATGCCTTATACATCAGAAACTACAAATGGTAATTGTTCTTTCTTTGTGGTTACAAGAAATTTGTTTTTTAATTCTTTTATTTTAAGATGAATTTGGATTGGCATGTGATGCTTTGTTCGATTGTACCCCATGTTCTTCCTTTGGCAGATGAATGGAATAAAAATTTCTTAGGAATGCTGATTTTTGCCATTGCCTATATCTTTTTGATATTTTACTTTTTATTATATGCTACTCTTGATTTATATTCTATGCAGACGTATATTGACACATGCAGAATTTCCTGCATATCAAGATATTTTGATTGGCGATTGGAATATGCACATCTGAATAAAATCACATTAAAGAAGGGTTGTCCCCCAAAAGGGAATATCTGGATGTGAAGCAGAAAACAAGAAGCAGTCCTTCATAACAAAACCAAAAAATTCGACAGGGACATAGTCATAGGTTGTAAATCAAATGTGATTTGTTGCTCTGGGTGTAGGCCCTTTGTTCTTATGCTGTAGACCTTGTGTCCCAAGAGGCTCGATCGAGGCCCTGTGTATGAAAGATGAGCCCCAGGACCCATGTACGTGAAGGAGAGCGGAGGCCATGTCCCCCATGCATGAGAGATGGAGAGGGTAACGACCCCCAACTATGAGGAATCTGGGCTTATAATGAAGGCCATGAGCTTGGGTAGCTCACTGCCATGAGCCATAGGCCCATGACCATTGACAGTGGTCCATCTGTGCCCTACTGCCTGAGGTCATGGCTGACATGGCAGCCATGACTGGATGCTTTAGATCCAATGGACATGAGCCCACCTCTCTGTTTCTTGGGGCACACATATTCTTAGATGGATGCATACGAGTCTAAATAAAATAGATTTCTCTCATACATTTGTAGGAGATGAGTTCTTAACATGCTGCCAAAAATCCAATCCCTGCTTTAGTAAAATGTACATCAAGTAAAAAGTCCTATGGAGTTATGTGACATGATTATCGAGCATTCTTCATCGTATGCACGGCCTTCTTCAATGATCGGTGGCTTAGTGCATGGTTTGGTCGTTTGTAAACGACTATCTAACCTTAGGATTCGAGCTTCTCACCTTATGTCATGGTTTCAGCAGAAGATCAGAGAAAATGTGACTCAAGGAACTTTTAAGAGAGCTTATTATAGAAAAGGACAATCTTGCTCTTAAGTATAACCAGAATAAGGATATTTTTGCAAGTCTTATGTTCCTTACCTATCACTTGCACTACATCCACATGTAGTCATCATCCTTGGGGTTTGTGATTATCCAAAGTTGACGTTTGGCAGTTTCATGGTGGGCTCCATCTCAAAACTTCGCCCCCTGCCATTTATGCTTGTCCATTGTGAGACCACATTCCTGATACATGCAAATTAAGTAAACTGACAAGGGGCTTTTAGCCATAAACAAGGCCAACCAAAATGGTTCTACTGCAACATATCTTGGATGAGTTTAGCTTACACAAGCTAGATTCCTAGCTATTCATTTTAATATGTCTTTAATTTAAAAATGACACCAAAGGTCTCAACATGAATCAAAATTTCAAAATCAGCTTAACAAGTAGCTTTGGTAAACAAGTAACGAAATTCTCCTATGCACGAGATAGCTAAAATACTTATGGGTGTGCATTATCAAAAAAGAAACACCACCATCATCATCAGTTGAGCATTGTCTCAACTATTTGGGGTCGGCTACACGAATCTTGTTCTGTCATTCTGCTCTATCAAGGGCCGTACCCTCAGTCAGACTAAGCACCATATCTCCTGTTACTACTTCCATTTGTGTCCTTTTAGAGCTTCTCACTTGAACCTCCTAACCGGTGTTGTTCTAGGCAACGTTGTAAATGGTCAGATCACCTAAGTCTTCTTCTCTCATCTTATCACTTATTGGAGCCACCCCTAAGTTCCCTTGGATGTATTCATTCGGAATTCATCCTTTCTTGTCTTGACACTCTTCCATCTCAATATCCTCATCTTAGCTACGCTCATTCTAAAATATGTTATTTCTTGACCGCCCAACATTCCATTCTATAAAATACGACTCTTCTTACAACTGTCCTATATAATTTCTTCTTTAGTTTTATCTGTATGAGAAGATCACATAAGACTCCAGAAGCACATCTTCACTTCATCCACCCATATCTAATTCTATGCGCAACATCTTCCTCAATTTCTCCATTCTTGTGGATTATTAATCCACGATATCAAAAATAATCTCTTTTAGGTATTTCTGGGCCATCAGCCTTTATTGGTTCTGACTCTTGTTATTTTCATTTTTGAGCATCCCTCCAAAATTCGAACTTCGCGCTGATGTCGTCTCTAGTCCCATCAATCAAAGCTATCATTCGCAAACAACATACCATGCTACCTCATCCTATAGATGCCTAGTTAACTAATCCATAACCAAAGCAAATAGATATGGGCTCAACGTTGACCCTTGATGTAAGTCAACTATCACTGAAAACGGACTTTTCTCTCCACTAGTTGTACTCATATCAGTTTGCGCTCCCTCGTACATATTGCTCACCATGTCAATATATTCTCTAGAGACTCATTTCCTTTTCAACACCCACTAAATTGTCAATATGATTCTAAAGACTCATTTCTTTTCCAACACGCACTAAATTAACTTTTTAGGTAACCTATTGTAATTCTTTCTTTGAATCAATGAAGACCATGTAGAAGTTTTTTCTCTTCTCCCTAAACTTCACAATCAATTGCTTAAGTGGAAAAATAGCCTCAATTGTTGACCTCCCTGGCATAAAACTAAACTGATTTTTTGATACACTCGTTTCATGTCGTAATCCTTGCTCAATCACTCTCTCCCACAATTTCGTAGTGCGGTCCATAACTTTGATACCTCAATAGTTCATACAATTCTATAGGTTCCCTTTGTTCTTATAAGTAAGTATTACAATATTATTCTCTATTTATCTAGTATTTTTTTGTTATCAAAATTTTATCGAACAACTTGGTCAATTAGGATATGCCAATCTCTCCCATGCACTTTCAAACCTCTATTGTGATACCATCTGGTCCTAAAACCTTTATTTTCTTCATCTTTCTCAAAACTTCTTTCACTTCAGATATCCTAATCCTACGTATGTATCGTTGACCGCTGACCTTATTTATGTCAGAGATTCCTCCTAATGTTGTGCTCCCGTAGTGGTTGTCATTTAACAATTTTTGAAAAATAAATTCTCTACATTTCATTGGCCTTGTCATCCTTCACTAAGACCGTCGAGTCCTTGCTCTTAATACATTTAACATAATCGAGATCCCTACACTTCGTCTCTCATTTTTTGCTGGTTTGAAGACTTTTTTTTTTTTACCTTCTCTTGTCCCCAATTTATTATATAGATCATCATATGCTTGAAGCTTAGCCTTACTATTTTCTTAGATTTCTTCTTAGCAGTTTATATTCTTCTTCTTCTTCTTCTTCTTCAAGCTTAAGAACATAGGGGAGGTTAACCATGGACTATTTGATAACAACCCAGTGGTCCAGTCAACTGGGCTATTCATCTTGATATTATGAAATTTCTACATTATATAATATGGAGTATAGAACTGCCTGATTCAGATGAAGAACTGATGTGGTGATCATTGATTCCCAATCTGATCCAGATCACGATTTCTTGAACACTAATAGCAACTTAATACATGAGAGGACCTTTCGATTATTCTCATATAAGTTCTTATAAGGTCAAAACTCCTAACTGAATGACTTTTTCATTGTTTCCCCATTATGTCATGTCCTTTCATGTCGTTTTCTCTTTTAATTATGTATATTGGATGTCTACTTACTCCAATGAGCTTTTATCCTAATTTTGATCATTTGAATCCAAATGTAATTATGATGACATATTACTTGGTTAACTGTGCCACTCATGATTCCAGCTTGCACTATGCATTGTGAAGAGGGACTCTCAAAATCAATTCTTTGATTGTGATGAAGATGAAACCAGTATACAGAATGAAAATATAAAGGTATGTATCTGCAGCTCCATTGTTCTCTATTTTGTTGGTGTAATTCATGATATAATTATTTCCTTATATGAAGAAATGGACTATGGACGATGGAGTGAGTAAGCTGATTCTGTTGAATCCAGGAGTGTCTAGATGAAGGTGATCTTGTTCAGAAGCCTATGCCCTTGAAGATGATAGATGGAGGATGCAAAAGGTGATCAATGCTTATGCTGGTTAGTTTGATTTGTTATTCCCTAATTTTGATTAATTAGACCTTCTAAAGGGCAGTATTTTCTCATGTATTTTTTTGGATAAATTATCAAATAAGAAGTCATCTGCCCAAATTTCATTAATTGAATGAAAAGAATAAACTTTAAGATACTGTATGACAGGTATATTTTGATCATCAAAATGGAGAAGTAAGGATTGGGCAATTGAACTCTCCACACAGTTTTCTCTTGCATAGCCAAGTTTCCATCTGAATTAGATTTCCTAGTTGTCCTCCTATATTTTGGGAGCCTGAGGTTTCATATGGAATTCACATCAGTGATTGGTACACTGATTTGCATGGACAAGGCAAACTAACATGTGCTAATGTAGCATAAAAAAGATGCGGGTGTCAGTGTCTAGCATGTATGTTAGGTAGGTTGTACGTCAAGCCTAACAGCCTGTATGGCTATGGCTAGGAACATCCACACAAGAATTCTTTTAGAAATTTTGTACTTAGAAATTAGAGGGAAGTTTGTAAAATTGTAAGTCAAAGTAGTCTTTC